TTCCATGGGCCGACAGTGGTCTTTCCATACCTTTAGTAGGACTATCGATTGCATATAATCAGACCTTCCCGGCTTTAAGTCGTGTATAAAGTGGGCGGACCTGTGCGGAAGTACCCAGGATGCACACCGTTTTCGGTTGAAATTGTAAACAAGTGGTGGGCTTGGTCAATAAGCTAAAAGGCACATTTGTTCAGTAAACACACCGTATACTCACAACCTTAGGGATTTTGCTGCTTTGTTTACCTCCTCCCTCTAGTAACGATCTTAAACTACTATGGTAATGATCTTACGTGACCGGAACACTGGTCTTACGGGACCATAGTACTGATTTTAACCTTTTAGCCCCGAATTAGTGGCGAATTTTTTTCTAAGTTAGAAATAAATTCGTTTTTTGATGCGAAATACATTTACGAATGTTTCAAGTTCGTTTTGCATGATCAGCTGTCAGGAGTTAAGGGCTCTCAGTGATTAATTCTCTTACAGAGTTACCTAATGATCATCCGAGACCAGGATAATGATTTTATGGATTACGTTGATGATATTACTTTTTTTTGTTTCGGAAGCCTAAAAATGAATGAACTTTACATTCGTTGCACAGTATTTACAGATTCTTCTTGTACATTGAAGGTATCTGTGTTTTTATAAAAGGTTTTTGTTGAATATTCCAGTGTAACTGAAAAATATCAAGCATTTGCACATACTTCCTCGATAAAAATTTATTTCATCTGTTCTGGATAATCTTCTTTGTTTATTTCATGAGGTTCCTCCTCGTTTATATTTTTGATGATAATTGCCTCTGTGTTATTTTTGCTTTGTGGTATGTAATTAACAGATTTTCTGAATTTTTGTGATAGTTTCGTATACTTATTTTTCTTGTTGGATTGACTCGGTTTACTATTACGACTATTTTTATCTTATTTACTAATTTCTTCTTTTAGTTTTCTTCTACTTCTTAAACGTTTAATTAATTTCAACAGAAATCATAGAGAATTTTTTTAGCGTGTGAGACACACGCTATGCAATTGAAATTTTATGAATAAAATTCAGTAGATAACTGTAAGTGCTAATTATGTATTTCCTTCATTTTGCGCATAAACCAAGCCATTCAAACAAAAACGCCCGTTCCTTCATAAACGGAATAGTGTGAACAGAGCCAAATGATCTTCTAGTTTATATACAATGTCAGAAAGAGTCGATCATCAATTGTATTATTTTGATTTCTCCATTCTTTTAGTCTTTCTATATATATGACTAATGCATCAACCACGTCAAGATTCAAATTTGCTTCATGTTTATAAAATGTTAATGTCATTGCAGCATTATAAGCTCAATGAGTACGTTAATTCATTTCAAATTCAATTATATTTTTATGTTGTTCTATGTGTGGAATTTTTAATGCATGAATTTCTGATGTTCGAGCTGCTGTAGAAGTTGTAAGTAATGTCACTGTTTTATTTGACAATAATTTCATATCTAATGTTTTATTATTATCCATCTTTTGAATATAGTTGACTAATCTGAATATATCCCATGTTTCACTATAACATGGTTGAGATGGTCTTAAATTAAAATACTCCTTTCATAAATGTTTGCATCATAGGACGCTGTCTCCTTTTAAATTCATCAATATGATTCATTTTCAAAGAAAATGATAATCTGTAAATATTTATTGCGTTATATTCAAATCCTGGTTCAAATAATTCTGTTAAAAAATTAATTACAGTTACCATATCGGCTGAAATCAGATCAATGTTTCGTGGCAAATGCCAGCTACATCATTTTCTTCACGCTGAATCATATGGTGATCGAGGACCTGGTCGTTGAGCATTGTGAATGATCTCTTTTGCCTTATTTGATAATTGTTGAGACGTTCCGATTCGTCTGATATCATCCATGCTGCTAGATCTTGCGACTTTTGTTCGATTAACGGTCAACCGATAATGGCAGGACTTTTTCTAATGACATTTGTAAATTTATACAGCATCAATAATTAAATTCTGACGATGAATCAGTAGATTCGAAAGCTCAAATAAATCAATTTAATTATTGGTGCTGTATAAATTTACAAATGTCATTAATTATAGATAACAATTTATCTTCTGGTAACGGTAGTGTCATTAATTCAGAATTAATTTCAGATCCAATACAATCCATTATTTTGATTTATAAATCCCGATCTTGGTAACAAATAAAATAAAGTATTTCGATGTATAATTAGTGTGTCTTTGTCCTGATGGAATAGATTTATATTATCGAGATAAATGATCAGACGCATATCCAATTTACTATTGGATATAATATATTTAATAAAATATTTTTAATATATTTGAAATAAATATTTAAAATATTTTGACCATCTGAATGTATTGAAACTGTCAAATATGCGTCAAACAAATCAATTTTACTATTCAATCGGATGGTTGAATTAGATTTTTTCATATCCACCATATTTTCCATTTTGAAACGATTATATGTTATATGTTGATTTAAATTAAAAACTGGTTTACATCTGCCGTCTTTTTTCGGTCGAATAAAAATGTGACTAACAAATTCATCTGGAGTATGATATGTAATAGTAATAGCTTTTTTATCGAGAAGTGTATTGACTTCTGTCAAAAATTAATTGTTGTTCTTCCTCAGAAAATGATGATGTTTAACAATATGATTTTCGTTCGAAACATTCTACTCAGATGCTTTGTTATTTTTGTCTTTAACTGTTTCTAATTTCTGGAATGCTGGTGTGCCCTTTGATTTTTCTAAAGCGTTTGACTCTGTCTCTCATTCTTTTTTGTTGGAAAAATTGTCGCGTTGTGCTGTGGGTGATTGTTTATTTTCTTTTTTACCTTCTTACCTCTCCAACCGTGTACAGTGTGTACGTGTGAATGATAGTATCTCTTCTACTTCTGGCGTTCCTCAAGGCAGTGTGCTTGGGCCGCTTTTATTTCTTATTTTTATTAATGACTTGCCTCTTTCTCTTTCAAAAAACTGTGAGAGTAAACTAGATTCTTGTATGGTAGTTCCTTTTCTCTTATTCTAGACTCTGTAAACAAACTTGCTTCTCGTGTTATCTCTCTCAATTTAGACTACCGTTCTTCTAGCTCTTCACTTATATCTCAACTGTTTCTTTCAAATCTGTCACTTCGTCGGAAATATTTTCGGTTAGTATAGTTTTTCAAGATTTATCATTGTCTTTTTGGTCCCGAGCGAAAAGCGATTTAACACCTAAAGAGGTTCCCTCGTCAGCATCTTTACAGTCGAACGTAGTCATATTTTCAGTTAAAAAAAACCCAGTGCTGTTACTCTTTATTTTGCTTTTTTCTTATTCTTTTTTTCTTATCTCTGTTTCGTACACTAGTTTACTTCTTTTTTTTATATTTTATCGCTCTATTTATAGTTTCTTTTGTTGTTGTTTGGTTCGAATCATTATTATTATATGTCGGGGACTTTTGATGACTCTCACTTATATAATTTCGTAATTAAAATACTACTATTACATTTCATCCGTACATTTTTACACTTGATCCGAGCTTTTCGGTTAAGATAAACTAGGAGCAAACGATGGGAGCAAATCGCCACATTTAACGCGAAAAACCACGAGAATGATGTTGATTGTAGGGATTTGCTTCTAGCTTATCTTAACCGCTTTTTCGGTTAAGATTCGTTTTTTTTTAAACAGAGAACAAAAGGAAAAAGATGGCGTCCTTCGTCTCACGCTTATAGCCCAGGAACAAAAGGTTGAGATAAGCTGAACGACAAATATTGAGATAAGCCGAGGAAAAAATATTTCACACTAGGAGCATAGGACGGATGGCGCACTTCATGCACATATGCATGGAACCACTATAGTGCTTCAAGGGTAGAGGAATCATGCTTCATATTATATTGTCTATTCTATTCTTTTTTTACTCTTTTGATGTTGCTGAGCTTGAGTCTTTGTTATTACAGGTCGGTGACCTTTGATGACTCATACTTTTCGTGAATAAAACAGTCTTAGTCTTGTACGAAACTAAAAGTGTAAAATTCTACTGGTGACATGTAGCATAGCTGTACTTCATGTGAGGTCAAAATTCTTAAGTGTGATCGTCCTACACTTCATCCGTGGAATTTTACATTTGACCGTGCTTTTTTGGGACAGTGATATAACATAATATGCATTATGTTGTTTCCCGCTAGCCGTCAGGAGTCACTTTCCACGTCTTTTCATGTAGAAAGTGGCTCCTGACGGCTATCTTTGACGGCTACCGGGAAACAACCTATGCATTATCCATTTTTGTCGCTCAACTTTTAACTCACTTTTTAATGGGTATGTTTCTTCCAATGAAATTACTTGTGGGTGCCTCACAACAGGTTATCATATTGCATTTCGAACGACTAACTTCTTAACAATAGCGTCGTGATCAGTTTTTGTAACGAAATGAAGTTGGCAGGTGCGGTTTAAGTCCCTAGCGCATTTTCGAAAAAATTTCCGGTTTTCGTTCATTAAATATGGATTGGTTGCACATGACGTATACCGTGTAATCATTTTCTTCTTACCTTTCCTCCTTTCGAGAACAGTCATCATTGACATTTTTTTACATAACATAATAGGGAATATAAATACAACATTATTTGATGGTTTCTTCATCTCTTTAACGTGCTCCCTGTTTTTAAGTGCGTACGCACGGGAATATACCTGTAGCATTTTTGTTTAAAGAGAAGCCTCTGTCAACGGAAAATAATTGATCTGTCGGTCCAAGGCTGTTTATTTGACTTTCTCTCGTATACAATGAAGGAGAGAGAAATTTTGTTGATTCTATACCATGGTTGAAGTTCAATGAAACCCTTCGTGAGAGACATTAGTTTGCAATCTACATAGAACAGAATACTCTGAGTGAATTTTCATCGATTTCACTTTTGATTTTATTTCTATTAGTAACCAAGATTCTTTTGTCGTTTTGAAAAGTTTTTCTAAATTATATTATGGATAGTTAGGTTCGTTTATTTGTTCATTTTAGCATCTTAGCTCTCTCTCTCTTACCTTCGACTCACTTTCTGAAACACTTTCTCAAAAATCTACCGTAACGTTTATTAAATAAAAATGGTTAAAGATACAAAATATTACGATATATTAGGTGTAAAACCAAATTCCACTGCTGATGACATCAAAAAAGCTTATCGAAAGCAGGGTTTGTATATTATATTATAAAAAAGTCATTCTCCATAAAAGAGTAACCTTTTCTTTTTTTGCTACGTTTAGCCTTGAAGCTTCATCCTGATAAAAATCCAGACAATGATCCAGAACAAGTAAGGATCTGTTAAAGCTTTTGCAAATTATAAAAAAACATCCAGCAAATATGTTCTTTATTCTTGATTTAGTTCAAATTACTTTCACAAGCGTATGAAACATTATCAGATGATAAAAAACGTCAAATATACGATCAAGGCGGTGAACAAGCACTGAAAGAAGGTGGTGTTGGAGCCGGTCATTTTAGTTCGCCATTCGATCTTTTTGATGCATTTTTTGGTGGCGGTGGCCGTAGTCGTTTTGGTCATGGTGGCGGCGGTGAACAACGTGGTAAAAATCTTGTACATCAATTAGCAGTATCTTTAGAAGAATTGTATAATGGTACAGTCAGAAAATTAGCACTGCAAAAGAACGTTATTTGTGATAAATGTGAAGGTAAATAAAACATAATTTTTTCTAACGCACTTTAGCATTTATTATTTGAAGAGATATAAGAAAAAAAATTTCATTGGAAATTTGAAAAAATGTAGCATGATATTTGTCACCTAATGAAGCTAGTTGTATACATTTCGTTGCTTGTTGAAAAGACTGAGCTCAATTTAATCTAATTGACTTCAGATAGTATATTATACATATTTTTTACTGTAAATTTTATTTATATTTTCAAGGACGTGGCGGAAAGAAAGGTGCTGTCCAGAAATGCATGACATGTCATGGTAGTGGCTTTGTGATTCGTGTCAATCAGTTAGCACCAGGAATGATTCAGCAAATTCAATCTCATTGTTCCGAGTGTGATGGAAGAGGAGAAAAAATAAATCCAAAAGATAAATGTAAAACATGCGATGGAAAGAAAATTGTACGTGAAAGAAAAATTATTGAAGTACATATTGATAAAGGTAAGAGACAGTGTTTAATATAAGTTCAATTTTAAGTTTTGGCATTGCTTTTCTTTCTTTTCAAGGAATGGAAGATGGGAAAAAGATTACGTTCAATGGAGAAGGAGATCAAGAGCCGGGTTTGGAACCGGGCGATATTGTTGTTGTATTAGATGAGAAAGAACATCCACAATTTAAACGCGATAAAACCGATTTACATATGACAATGTCTATTACGTTGAGTGAAGCTCTGTGTGGATTTCAAAAAGTGATAAATACACTTGATAATAGAGCACTTGTTATTACATCGCTTCCGGGTACGTCACTTAAATAGAATCTTTAATGCAAAGAAGAATATCAGTTATTGCGGTTCAAACAATTAAAAAAAATACCCTTGAAAGCGAACGTTCAGGCTAAAGTTTTACGTTAACTTGATTTTCTTTTTTTTCCTCTTATAGGAGATATAATCAAACCTGGTGATATCAAATGTTTATTGAATGAAGGAATGCCGGTTTATCGTAATCCATTGGATAAAGGTCGTCTTGTATTACATTTTGATGTAAAATTTCCTGAGAAAAATGAAATTAACGATAAAAATTTCGCATCATTAGAAAATTTATTACCACCACGGGCTGTTGTCCAAATACCAATGGATGCTGAAGAATGTTTATTAGTGGATTTTGATCCAAGACAACAGCGAAATCATCGACATGACGCATACGATGACGATGATCCGAGACGTGGTGGAGCGACACAAGTAAATTGTGCCACACATTAATAAAACAATGAACACAAGCCCAGTTGCTTCTTAAACGAGAAGAACAAATTTGTTTTTGAGATTTTTTTCTCTTCTCTCCATTTGTGCAGGTTCAATTTTCTTTTTTTTCTTCAAAAATCTTTATAGAAACACTAAGAAGACAACCTAAAAAATGATGTCACTCTTTTCCCAATATGTCATAGTTTTTCATACGGGCATGCATTTTTTATTTTGGAAACAGATTTTTATAATAACAATCAGAAGTCGTATTTATCACACTTTTTTCTTTTCATCAAACGGCTGATGTGCTCAGTTTTTCTTGTTGAATCGTAATATTAATGGTGATTATTCAAATATAAAGTATATACGTCTTTATAGATCGAAACAGGAAAGAAAATTTTTAATAAAGCATCTTGATCCTGTTTTTCTGACTAGTTAGTTCATTAGTTGGTACGAGAAGGAAGTACTCAATATCTTACGAGCGATTGGTGGCCAAAAATTGGATGCATTAAAACGAATACAGCAACATTCATTTCATATTTTTAAAATTCTGTTGTTTCTTTTAAGATAGTTAAACAACGTTCCTTGACAAGAAAAAAATCTCGTCTCAAACTAAATTTGACGGTAAATCTTTCAAAAGTGATAATTTAGAAGAATACTTATTTGTTATTACTTTCAAAATCGTTGATGTTAATACCTGATAAGAAATGTACGGCATGTTTCGGAGTTCAAACATGATTATTTTCCACCTTGTAAATTATGCAGTCAGATTTGTTTTAGTTTTAGACGTCATTGTTACAAATAATGTCTATATTTCCGTCCGTATCTTCTAAATTCAAAATTCTCCTGCATTCTCATTAGTCAGTCAATATTCTACTAACCATGCTTTTTTGTGCTCAAATACATACCTTGTATATGTTCATAATTATTTCAAACATGTGAAGTAACTTCATAAGATATGTAAGTATACATGTTACTAGCTGCAATCATTACTATTTGAAGACATAAAACTCTCAAATGATTACATTATGTTGATGCAGTGTGTAAATATTCAAAAAAAGCTAATGCCATTCTATTTTATCGTAAAAAATTTAATCTTATTCATATTTTTCTGTTTTCTATGTATCCTACACTTGCAACAACCAGAATATCATGGAAAAACAAATATTCAATATTACAACCTAAATAAGTAGATGGAACAAATGGCATAGAACGAATTATTCGTCTTGGTTATAAAAAAATAACTACTGTAGAACCAGGCGTACAATTAGGACGATATACCGGATGCGGCAGAGAAAATGAGTCTCTCAGTATTTTCAATTTTTTGTATCGTGTTTTGGGATTCTAAGGTTGATGTTTTTCTAAAAGATGCGCCGCAAAATACTCTACAAAATTATATCTAAACTTTAATTTCAGAACTTCAATCAAGCACGCAATTAGACGAAAGACGAAACAAATGAAAACTTTCTAAACTCAAGAACGATTTCTTGTGTTAACGATTTGGAAGTAAAGAAAATTGAATTAGCCATTTTGTAGCCCTGACTTCGCTCTATTTTTTAGCTATACTTCAAATGTTTTCACACAAAAGCTCATGGAGAAATAATAATTTTTCTGTCGGTTGTCACGCATTTTTTCATTCATTTTTCTAAAAACTGCGTATGCTTTCAGCAAAAGTCTCATAACTTCATCAAAACAAAAGATTTTTCGATCTTTTTTTGTTTTTTTATCAGAAATGATTGCTTTTCTCAACCTAACTGCAAAATCAAAACTTCGATGATGTTTTCCGTTTCTTAGTTGAGCACATTGTTGTCAATTTTTTGACATTTTTGAAACTTCGTTCCCGAGCACATGATCTGCTCTAAAAAAACTTTTATTACCAACCAAAAGAAAGAGCACGTTCGAAAGTACAAAATGAACTGAGTTCTCACTTTTTTTACGGAAATAATAGCAGAAGAAAAAAGTTCAAGTCGAAAAAAAGACTAAATTTACAAACTTTTTCATTTGTTTCGTTTTTCGTCTAATTTGCGTAGTTTTCTTGATTGAAGTTCTGAAATTAAAGTTTAGGTATAATTTTGTTGAGTATTTCGCGGAGTATCTTTTAGAAAAAACATTAACGTCAGAGTCTTACACGAGAAAAATAGAAAATACTGAGAGACTCATTTTCTCTACCGCACCCGATATATGAAAAATAAAATTGATTCACAAAAATTGGAAAAAATTTAACTTTTAGAAAACTCAGCGATCTATAGGTTAACTTTGTTTGCGGTAGTAACTCGCTTGACTCTCAAGACAATATGCACTCTATTGATCCACTAGTCTTTCCATAGTATATGCACAATTTTAATATATCTATTTTCTGCAGGATGAAGGGGACAAGATGAGTAGCGGTTATATCATAATCTTTTCTGAAAAAATTCGAACTCTTCCTTGTCTCTGGTATTCTACAATCAACAATAAATAAAAAGTCTGTCAACAGAAGCAATAATGAAACAGATAAGATTCATCGTACATATTCGTTTGAAGTAACTATATTAGGTTTATAATTTGTCAGATTATTTTTAACATTTTGTCGTCTTTTTTTCCATTCTTTGTCATTTAACCATCGTTTCAAATATTTTCCATTGCCAACTGCACGAACCAAATATTCATCTAATTCTCGAGTAGTACGAGGTAATTTTGTATCATGATTTATATAATATCCATGTTTATTACAATCAACGTGACCCTTTCCTTTACAAAAAAAACATTTTACTCTCCCACCACCAGGATCATGATGAACAAGATCAGATGGATCTTGACGACATGATATTTTAATATATTTTGTCATTTTCATAGAATTATCAGGATCTCGAATAACTTCGTGACATAAACATAACAAGTAATATTTGTAATAGCGTTTTCCATCACAATAAGGACACGTCTTCGTTGATATTCCACTTTTATTACCCATTAAACAGCAATGTGATTAAGTGTTTTTTATTTTGAATATTAAATGTACACATAGAACGATAGATGTTATAGTATCAAAAATAATTATTTCATTATAAAATTAGTTGAAAAATTTAACAGAGTACATAATCATGTTAAATTTGTTCGTTTAATTCATTTATAAATATAAAGATAATTTTTTCAGTCTTTAAAATGACTGCTTTTGTCCTTGTAAAATTGTAAGAGTCAAACGAAGAATCATGATTATTTACCTTTCAATGTATAGCTCGTTTTTCTGTTTTTTTTTCTGAACAAGCTTAAAGGGATAATTGAAAATAAATCCTTTATACTTCGAGTAAACAGATTTTCTACTAGAATTGACTCATGACATCTGTAAACAAATGTTTAAATAGCAATAGTAGTAGTATTGCCTTGTATCGGAATTTTTTCTGTTTTCCTTAGGGCTCATTTCACATCTTTTATATCTATTTGTTATTCAATCAGAAGATATTCCAGATAATGAAATTCGCGCTGATCGTTGTCTAATAGGGTTTGTTTGTTTCTATATTGTTTAGGCTCCTTCATGCAATGATTTTTCATCGGTCTTTATAAATTTATTATTAAATTTTGGTGATTTAAGTGAGGTTTCTTGAACCCGTTGAGAAACGCCATAACATGGCCAAAATTGACATATACTTTTGATGATCTCATTCAATTCTACAATCAAAACGGGGGTTATGAATAAATTTTTTGCCTTCTGGGACTTGATCTGACTAAGTTATAGAATTTACAAAATGAGACCAGCGATAATCTGTGAAAATGAGCCATCTCTGAAATTTTGGCTATAACTCAGTCTAGTTTTATTCGTTCTGTTCGTGCAATATTTCATTCGAAAGCCTGATAGAAACTGAACAAATTCACCCAGTTTTTCGTTTTTTCAAATTAACTTATCATTGTGGAAAAAAGTCTTTTCTTGTTCTTGTCATTCCTGTTTTTCTTCAACCCCTTTTCCCAACTAAGCTAGTTTATAAAGAGACAAGGAGATGCCGAAAATTCTCACTACTTGCATTTTGTAGAGAATTTAATGGGCTACAAAATCAGAAAAAATTTTTCAAATAAAAGTGCATGGTCAGATCCAAATTTTACAAGCAATATGGCCGACTGATGCTAATTTTCCCACGTGTTCCAGTTTTTCCGAGTTTTTACAGTCTAAACTGGTTTTAAATCAAAATAAGGGTGATATTCGAAATGACCATCAAAAACTGCGTCCATTGATGTGTATATGAAGCTGTTTGGAGAAAAATAAAATTTCAACATTTTTTTGGTTTTTCTGAATTGAAGTTTTTGCTGAAATTTTATTTTTCTCCAAACAACTTCATATACACATCAATGGACGCAGTTTTTGATGGTCATTTCGAATATCACCCTTATTTTGATTTAAAACCAGTTTAGACTGTGAAAACTCGAAAAAACTGGAACACGTGGGAAAATTAGCGTCAGTCGGTCATATTGTTTGTAAAATTTGGATCTGACCATGACTAATGTTAAAAGTGGTAAAAATAGCAAACCTCTTAATGAATTTAAAATTCTATAAAAAAAATGTGAAAAAACCTTCCATAGCCTCAGGTCACCCATTCTACTTTTTTTTCCCATAATGGTATACTCGATTATATAACGAGAATAATCATAATACTTTATTGAATCTCACATGTTAAACCTATACAGATATCACATTCACCAACTACATATCTCAATGTTAATAAAACAGAAAAACAAAATTATTTCAACAACAACCAATGGTGATAGTATACTTCGTTTCAGTCGGTAAGTACAGCATTTGTCAATGAATGATGAATGACTAACTATAGAGAGAATGTTTACAATTATGAATTAAATGTAAATCATATCATATAGATCAATTCCATTTCAAACATATTGATGTTCAAAATTTAAATCAGCAATTATTGCAGTCTGAACGATTATTTATCAATTTTACAACAAAAGTTGATAGAAAACAAAGGTAAAGTATTGATTAACGTACATAATTTTACGATTGTGTGAAATTTGATAGACAAACATAGAAAAGAAGTAAAGTTTATTGTCTATGACAAACGTAAGGGTTCACTATGCTTGAAGAGATTGAAAGGATCGAGAGATCAATTTACTGACTCTCTATAACCGTATAAAAAGGATGGGTACTAAGTTTTGACCCTCTCTGTAATTGACGTTATGTATATGAAATACACATAATAAAATTCAACTGTTTTCTGCAAAAGATTTGCCGTTTAATTCTGTACAAAATGGTATATATAGGGATGAAACTGAAGCTGGAGATTCCGTCTTGACTGAACAAAAATCGAAATGCCTCAAAACTTTCAAAAAATAAAAAATTTTCTGACAACGATTTTGAATTCTGAACTGAAACTACTGAAAACACAGAAATAACGACAGAAATTCGCGTCATAGCCATTCGATAGAGAATTTCAAGGCCTACATTTTGGCCTATCCGATGTGAGAACAACGCATACATTCAAGTTTATACTGACGAAACACAGTTTTTTCGAGTTAAAATTTTGAAAAATTTTGCAGTTAATCCATATCACATTTACTCAAATTAAAGAATCGATTAGAACAAATAAGAAAGACATTAAATTCTGCTGATGGACTATTTTCATAGAAAAAAAATAATAAAACATTTAAATCTTATCCATACAATTTCGTTCATCATAAAATAACATTACATTCCAGTTTCTATTTTTCTTTTTTATATACTTCGAGAACAAATGACATTCTCATTTAAAAATTTTCTACACTATTATTCTTATAATGTCTATCTTTATTTTCGGTATTAGCATTTTGTACTGTAAAGTATTATTACTTATGCAGTGCTGAACGGGATTAAAATTCAGTCAAGTGAAACATGTAAGATTCGACTGTTTCAAGAAATTGAAAAATTTCATAAACATCAGTTTTCTTTTCGTGGCGTAAAGATTTTAGGAAAGAACGACGGCAATCTGATAGTTCACTAGACAATTCTCGACAAGAATATAGACTTTTATCTCAATCACGAACCTTTCCACGTAATATACTCGGAAATGAAGACGAAAATGTCTAGTGCAAAAAGTCAATGTGTGTCTATCTAATTTTACATAGTCGCAAAACTATGCATGTTAATCGATACTTTACCTTTGCTTTTTATCAAATTTTGTTGTAAAATCGATAAATAATCGTTCAAACTGCAATAATTACTGTTTTAAATTTTGGATTGAAATCAGAATTGTCAAATCTCATAATTTGACCAGAAGACTCCTGATTTTTAGACTTTTCTCCTGATAAAAATTCTCTTGATTTCAGGAGCTGCTTTTTAAGATTTTCTTCTGATTTCCAATTGTTTTCCTGCATCGATTTTAGCGACATTTAGAAGGAAAAGAGAACTATCGCAGTGCTTAATGGACGCAGCGTTGCCGCCGCTTGTTTTTTCCAAAACTGAGATTATCAGTTTCAGAAACAGAATTTCTGAATCAAGATTCTAAATAATTGTACACTGAAAGACTCCGCTGTGTGCTTATCGAAACTTCCAAACCTATCGGATCAAAATCTTCTTCCTCGATCTATACTGCGGTCTGTAACGAATGATAATACTGTTTCATCAAAAAATATTTTTATTTATCGGCTTTGAAATCGCGTACCATAATTGAGTAAGCAAAGAATCTTTATTTCGTATGTAGTAACGATATCCGTAATCGGTTTTGTGTACCGTGATTTCTCGTCGTAGGAACCATTTTCAAAATAGACATTT